GGGAGAAAGAGATAGAAGCATCCATGATGAGAATCATCTATTGGCTGCCGACTGCAGGGATCAAGCCCAAGCAGCCTGGGCATGTTCCTGGACCCCAACTGGGAATTCTGGTTCATAGGTCTACACTCAACCACTGAGCCACACTGGCTGGGCTGTCATTATTTGTAATATCAAAATACTGGGAACAATTTATCTTAGAGCCCTGGATAAATACATTTTGGCCCTTTCAAAAAGTGGAATACTATGTATTAAAAAAGGAAGTGCAGCTGACTACTTATAGACATGGCAAGATGTTTATGAGTAAGTGGAAAAAAGAGATTATAAAACTATACATATAAGAGGGTCCCATTTGAAATATATATTTGGATAGAAAAAGATTTGAAAGACAACACAACAAAATACTAACATGAATAGTAGCTGTCTCTGTGTTGTACAGTTATAAATATTTAAATTTCCTTCTGTTTACCCAGTCCCTGCCCCCATTTTTTATTTTAACAGTGAACAGGTATTGCATTAGTAATAAGAAAAAAGAAATAAAAGTTATAAAACCAACAGGCAAAAAAACAACTTAAGAATGTCTACTCTTGCTATTAATGAGCCTAACTACCATGGTATGAAAATTGAATTCATACATACTAATAAGATTAACAAGGTTAGCTCAGAGGAGGAAGGAGATAAGCAAATGTCTACTCTTGCTTCCTTTTTCCCTTTTAATTTTTGGAAAATTTAGGGAAAAAAGAAAGAATGTCTACTCTTTTAAAAAAACAACCTGTCTTCAGACTGAATCTGTATTGCTTCTTTCACAGGTACGAAGAACCTTACACAATAATGAATTTACTACTAGACATGTAGGAAAGCATAATATCTATTATGTTCCCCCTAGCACTCCACTTTCCCCAAACACGAAGACTTCTACTATACTTCAAAAGAGAAAAAGAAATTTTTAAACTTGCAGAGAATGGAAATGTTACATTTCCACCAGCGAGGGCAATATGGCAATATGTTTAAAAGTTCTTTCCAGGACAAGGCATCTTTGGAAAAGGGATATGTGTTTAAAGTGAGAGAACTGCATTCATAACTAAACTCAAGAACTCCTGATTCTTGTTTTGACTATGATCACTTCCATCATTTAGCTCAAGCTAAATTTGCCGACTTCAATCTGTTTGGTTTGTCTAATCCACTGGCTTCTCTCTCAAGAGGCAGAGTTGGAATTAGTTGGTAATGAATTTGGAGAGTGTTTTGAAAAGGAAATGAGATATATAATTTTCTTTTAATGTTATTACATTTTAGTAATAGCACCAGGATCTAAGCACAACCTTCTAGTGTTAGAGGTGAAATTACTGCTATCAATGAGCCTAACTACCATGGTATGAAAACTGAATTCATACATACTAATAGGATTAATAAGGTTAGCTCAGAGGACGAAGGAGATAAGCAAATCATCCATTTGAGCTGATAATTGCAAGAATGATTAACTCAATAAAAGAATCTATCAGAAACTTGACTTAATCAGATAATCTACAGCAACTACATTAACCAGATAATTTAGAAAGTACAGCCTAATTTCAAGTCTCCACAATACTGGTAGCTTTCTCTAAGGATAAGCAAAATCCGTATTGGTAGCACACTAGGAAGTTATGTGTTCAAATGTCAAAAATTCACACAACACAAAATACTATACCCATAAATTCAAACCTGCCTAATCATGTCTGCAATAAGAAAACTTGAAATATGTGAAAAAGCAGCTTTTCTGACACCAAAAAGGTTGTGGGTTCAATTCTTGGTCAGAGCACATACCTAGGTTGTGGGTTTGATCTTAGGTTAGAGTGTATAGAGGAGGCAACTGATAGATGTTTCTCACATCAACATTTCTTTTTCTCTTTCTCTCTCCTCCTTGTTCCTCTCTGTCTAAAATCAATAAACATAACCTTGGGTGAGGATTTAAAATAAACTAACTTTCTCATAAAAAATAGATTCTTCACAGCAAAGGAAATTTATCAACAAAATGAAATGGCAACTTATTAAATGGGAGAACATATTGCAAATCATGTATCTGACAAGGAGTTAATATCCAAAATATATAAAGGACTCATGCAAAAAACAAAACAACCCAATCCGATTTAACAATGGGCAGAAAATCAAAGAAGATATACAGATGGTCAATGGGTATATGTGAAGATGCTCAACGTTAGTAATCAAATGCAAATCAAAACCATAATGAGCTATCACTTCACACCTGTTAGAAAGGCTAATTAAAAAATAAGAAACAGTTGGTGAGGACATGGAGCAAAGGGAAGCCTATGCACCATCGGTGGAAATGTAACTTGGTGCAGGTTGAAGGTTCCTCAAATTTAAAAATAGAACTACTGCCCTAACCCATTTGGCTCAGTGGAGAGAGCGTCGGCCTGTGGACTGAAAGGTCCCAGGTTCGATTCCAGTCAAGGGCCTGTACCTTGGTTGCGGGCACATCCCCAGAAGGAGGTGTGCAGGAGGCAGCTGATTGATGTTTCTAATTCTGCATCCCTCTCCCTTCCGCTCTGTAATAAATCAATAAAATATATTTGAAAAAAAAATAAAAATAGAACTACCATATGATTCAGCTTCTCTACTTCTGGGTACTTATCTAAAAACGAACACAAAAGCACTAACTTGAAAAGATATACGCACTCCCATGTGCATTGCAGCATTATTTACAATAGTTGAGATATAGAAACAACCTAAGTATCACAGATGGATGAATGGATACAGAAAATATGGTGTACAGATACAATGGAATGTTATTCAACCATAAAAAGGATGAAATCTTCCCATTTGTGACAACATAGGTGGACCTAGAGGGCATTATACTAAGTGAAATAAATCAGACAAAGACAAATACTGTATGATCTCACTTATATGTGGGATCTAAAAAAATGAAAACCCAAGCTCTTAGATACTGAACAGATTTGTGGTTGCCAGAGGTCAGGGTTGGGGGAGGAGGGAACCAAAAGGTAAAAACTTCCAGTTATAAAACAGACAAGTCCTGGGGATGTAATGTACAGCATGGTGACTACAGCTAATAATACTGCACCACATGTTTGAAAGCTACTAAGGGAGTAGATTTTAAAAGTTCTCATCACAAGAAAAAAAATGGTAATTATGTATGGTGATAGGTATTAAGTAGCCTTATTGTGGTGATCATTTTTCAATATTACAATTTTTGAATATACACCTGAAATTAATATATGTCAATTATACTTCAATTTTTTTAATGAAAACAAAACTTTTTCTTACCTTCTTAGAAGCAAGGTCACAATGAATAAATATTATAGACTATAGCATTTCAAAAATATCAATGCAAACTAAAAGCAGTACAGTACCTCCTGAAACCACAATCCTGGTTGCCTGATCCGGTATCAAAATGCGTTATTTGGTGAAATGCAGAGTTCAAGTGGGTGATGACTGCAATGCAGGGGAAGGGATTTGCGAGTGCCCTCACAGGCGTTCTTCATTCTAGCTTAGTGAGGAGTAAGTTTTAATTGTGTCTCTTCCAGCTGTATTTCCTTAATCAGTAATAAATAACCCAGGGCACCAATTTCAAACAGATGAAGGTCATCACCTAAGATCTTTTCTTGCTAAAACAGTTTCTTCCCTTCGTCCTTTACAAAAAATCTGTTAAAGCTTAAATGCTTTCTGCCTAATGGTTATTTTCACCCCATCTCACACAGAGGTTTGAGGTTTATCCAGATGTCTTTTCAATTATTGTATTTATTGAATGTTTACTTCTTCATAGAGAAAGATGGATTTCTCAGCCCTTCCTGTTCTGTTTATCTCAGGAATCAAGAGACAAGCCAACCCCCTAAGGAGGTTTTGGGGTCCAAGCAAAGTTAGAGCAAAAAAAAAAAAAAAAAAAAAAAAAAAAAGGCGAGTGGCAGGGCAAATGGAATAACGCTGCGCGTTTCTTCAGGACATAGGTCTCAGACTGGGTGAACATCGCTCTGGCCCCACGAAGGATTTAGGGTGCAAGGGAGAGGGAGGGCCAGCTGGACTGAGACTCAGGGGACAGAACCCGGGTTTCACCCCACTCCGGGCGGGGTATGTTAGAGGTCTGGGGCCATGTGGTGGGTCAGCTTTGAAGAAAACCCCACGCTTTTGCATAGACTGAAAATAAGGTTTGGAACCCCCCCGCCCCCAAACTATTGTTTAAGGAATTGATTTCATCGTTGGATAATGGAGTCTCAGAAATACTATACACAGAATGCTTTGACTCAGGCCCCAGAGGGACAGAGAGGTGCCCCGCGAGGCCCGGGGAGCCACGCCGCCAAGCTGGTCCCTCCACTCGCCCAAGCGGAGCGCGGGACGGCGGGCTCCGCAAACGAAGGGTCTGGGGCTCGAGCCCACTTACCCTGGGGCGCCTGGGCGCCGGCCCCCAGCCAGGGCTGCAGGGCCAGGTGCAGCAGGAGCAGGGCGGCTCCTTTTATAAAGGCTTGGGGCGGCCCCCTTGGCTGGGATCCCCCTTCGCCGGGAAGAGGGGGCGGCCGGAGCGAGGAGCAGGGCGGCAGAGAGGGAGGCGTGAGTGTGGAGAAGCCCAGAAGCCCGGGACCTTCTGGGCTCTCTGCTGGGCGTGGAGGCGCCTGGGACCCCCAGGGGTTTAGAGGGGGAGCAAGGATGGGCAGCAGGGACCTGGAGGGAGGCGTTAGAGCACGGGTGGAGATGAAGGGGGAGAAAGGGGAGAAAGGAGGAAGAAAGGACACTGACGCCTAGTTTGGGGCACCATCAGGCCCCCACCTCCTGTCCTCCTTTTGTTTGAGAACATCCTTTGGACAGACTTTTTAAGGCTCATCTTGGTTTCCCTTCTGAACGAACCCTGAAGGCTCTCCAGCAACTCTCTCCTAAAGTGGTCCAGAGAGCAATTGGTTTCTTTCGTTTGTTCAGGCTTTTTTTGAATACCTCAAATGTTGAACATTTTTCTCATCAAGTTTTGAGACCTGAACAGTGAACGTTTGAAAGTTTTTGCGTTTTTGATGGAAACAGAACACCTCTCAAAGAATCCATTCAGACAGAACCATTTCCAGGACGATGGTGCTTTCTGGAGAATTTATTTTCAATTCAATTTCTATCTGCCCACTTCACCCTCCCAAAAGATCCCTCGTGAGAGTTTAAAGGTAGGGGAGTAGGACTTGAAAGAGAGGGAAGGAACATAAGAAATTAGTTTTCCTTCTAGGCAAAGCTCTCCAAAATAATGTGAATTAACTAGAATAAAAAAAAATTCAGAACAATGGCAAACTTTTCCCTCCAAAACCATCTTGACGAATGGAGAAGATCCAGCAAAGTATTTCTATCCCTACCTTTATGTCTCAAATAATTTCTTTCAAAGTTTAAGAAGCTCTCTGCCACAAACAGGAAGATTAACTCACCAGCTTATTTCCAAACTGTGCAGGAGTAACCTCTCGCCAATTATGATTCTACTTACAGCTAATGACCTGGAGATTTCCCAGCTATTTCCAGAGCTCTTTTCCATTTGAAGTCTAACGTAATTCAAATCCAGGTTTCATTTAATGCCACATTACACAGAAGTCACTGTATGGAATGAGCCACCGCATGTCTACATAGGAGAGCACTGAGGAGATAGAGGGTGTGCATGTTTCTAACAAACCCAAAACTCTCATTAAACTTCTTTAATATACTTTATTAAAAACTGTGCAAACATTCCTTAGAAAAATAACCAGAAATACAATTGTGAGGACATTTGTTACAAATAGTAACTATGCCTACCAAACTTGAACTCCAGAGAGCGTTTTGACAATTAGCATTTCTTAAAGTAACTACTCTCCTTCATTAAACAATACAAAATCCTTCCACATGGCAGTTCCTGCAATGTCCAGTGATAATAATGATGATTGAGCCAGGAAAACCCCCAATTTAGTGCCAGATGTCTGAATGTATTTGCTATGAAAGTATGATGCAGAGTGCAATGAAATAATGAGATATAAAGCAAATTTGCAAAATGTGCTAAAATTCTATTCATTTGGAGTTTCAAATTTGAGCTAATTTGATTTGAATTGGTTTGAAGTTAATCTAAGGGGGAAAAGGTTTATAAGCAAATGAATAATATTACTTGAATTCCTCGGGGCATGTTTAACCTAACTGAAAGATCTAACACATGAAAGGTTTTAGTAGTTAACTGTCACCAGGAAAATTAGTACTGCTAATTACAAATGAGCCCTAAAGCAGCTGATCTGGATATCTGCAGTTTTCTTCAGTCTTAAATGTAAAAATTATGTGGGTTTGCTATCCAATCATTGACAAAAGTGTTGTGTTAGAAAGAATATTTTTCCATCAGGCATGAAAGCTTAATTATAACTTTTTTCTCATTAATGTAATCAACTATCCATCAAATAATTACTATGTGTCCATTCATTCATTAATTCAACAAATATTTATTGACAACCTTCTAGACCAGTGGTTCTCAACCTTGGCTGCACATTAGAATCACCTGGGAATCTTTTTAAAATCCTGATTTCTGGGTCTCATAAAATCAGGATTTTAAAAAGATTCCCAGATGATTCTAATGTGCAGCCAAGGTTGAGAACCACTGTTCTAGACTGTGCCCTGCATAGAAAGATGGATGAGACAGTTCTTGTTTTCCAGCTCATAGTCTACTCAGACAAGCAGGTGATATAAAAAATATGATAAAGCTGTCATAGACATATGTCCTAAGAAACAAGGAAATGCTGAGAAGAAAGCAGCTTATAGGTAGAGAGATTTAGAAAAGGCTTCCTAGAAGAGCTGCCTTTTCATCTGGGCCGTGAAGGACGAGGAGACATTCTCCATGTGACAAAGTACAGGGAGAACATTGCAAGCAGAGAGAATGCATGTTATGTGCGAGACTAAGGAGGGAGATGTCAAGATACCTGTCCTGATGTCTGGGGTTCTGACCTGGGCAGCTTGGCATGTTGTAGTGCTGTTCCGTGAGATATGAGGGGGAGGTGATGATTTGGCTTGGCCATGTTGAGTTTAAGGCATCATCAACACATTCAAATGGAGCTGTCCATTAGGCATTTAGTTACATGGGAGAGAGGTGTATAGGTGTGGGCACCATTAATTTATAGGTAGCAACTAAAGCCATAGAGATAGATGAGACTAATTGAGAAGAGTGTGTAAGATGAGGGAAGAACACTGAGGCACACTGACATTCAGAGACCAGTCAATAAGGAGAAGTCAGCAATAAAGATGGAAAGATGGAAAAGAAAATCAACAAAGTACAGCGTCTGGGAGGCCTGGCGAATATTATCAACACTGTGGAGAGGTCAAACAAGATAAGAGGTAAAAACCGTGCTTGGGTAGTCAGCACAGAAGTCATTGGTGACTGTTGAAAGTGGGTTGATGGAGCAGTGTGGATGAAAGAAAAGCAGAATACTGCCATTTGAGGAATGAGGACGATAGGATAGGAAGTGGAGATAGTAAGGTTAATAATAAAGTGAAATAACTTTCAAGAAGCTTGCCTGTGAAGTGGAAGGTGAAGATAGGCCAGGAACTACTAGGAGAGACATGAACATATTTTGATGTAGATAGATTAGGGCTGCCAAGGAGGGAATAGTTGATATGTGCTTTTTCTTAATCAAGGGGCACTAAAAGTATTTTGTGTTTTCCTCTAATAGTTTTGCATTTTATGTGTCACATCACCCCTCTAACAATATAAGCTTTACAAAATGAAGGTTGTCTGATTAAGACAGTAACAGAATTCCCACCCTAGGGGGGTTTTTGTTTTTTTTTTTAATATATTTTTTATTGATTAAGGTATTACATATGTGTCCTTATCCCTACGTTACCCCCTACCCACCCTAGGGTTTATTATCTCCTATAACATGCAGTCCAGAGAGTTGTAGTAGTAGTTCAGTGAATTAACAATGTTATGCATCTATGTCAGCTTTTGGACTCCCCTTGAGGTGCAAGGTGGCTGCTGCAGCTCCAAACATCATCTCTTTACATGACAGCATCCAAAAGTAGAAAACAAGGAAAGGGTCAGGTTTCTGCTCTTGTTCTCTCTCTCTCTCTCTCTCTCTCTCTCTCTCTCTCTCTCTCTCTCTCCCTGCCTCCCTTCACAGAGCAAACCCATTCCTAGAAACACCCAAACAGACTTCTCCTCAGGTCACAGTGGGTCACAGACATACCCACATTTTGTCTGCCAGGGAGGATTGGGAAAGTGAGGACTGATGCTTTCAGCTTCTATTGTGGGACTGGACTGGACTAGGAAGGAAGGGGGAGAAGAGAATGGAGAACTGACTGTGCCAACATGGTCAGCCATAGGCTCTGTGTTTTGCACTTTATTAGTGCCCACCACAGTGCTGGGTGCTTACAGGTGGGGCTTTGGCATTCTATGTGAGGTTTATAGGGAGAAAAAAAACAATAGGTGAAGGTAGATGAGAGTGATGTACTGGTAAATCAGAATAGGAGGTGAGTGTGAGGAAAAATTTGATAGCTTGGCTGCGTGACTCAGTGGTTGAGTGTTGACCTATGAACCAAAAGGTTCAATTCCTGGTCAGGGTACAGGCCCAGGTTGTGGGATTGATCCCCAGTGTGGGGCATGTAGGAGGCAGCCAATCAATGATTCTCTCTCATCATTGATGTTCCTCTCTCTCTCTGAAATCAATAAAAATATATTTAAAAGAAATTAACAGACTTAGGGGAAGTGGATTGGCAAAAAGAGATAATTAACTTCAATTTCAATGGGTTTAATATAAAGAATATACTTAATATATAAAATGTTCTGGACTAGGGATTGGCCCATTGTGGCACACAGGCCAAATCTGGCCCACTCACTGCCTATTTCTGCAGAGTCAGCAAGCTAGCAATAGTTTCTACATTTTTAAATGGTTGGAAAAATATGTTTTTAAAGTATAATTTTTGACATGTTGAAATTATGTAAAATTCCAGTTTTAAGGTCTGTCAGTAGGTTTTATTGGAACACAGCCATGTTCACTGGCTATTTTTGTGACATAACCACCAAGTTGAATGTTTGCAACCGAAACCGTATGGCCTGAGAAGGCCTAGAATGTTAACTCTATGGCTCTTTGCAGACAAAGTTGCTGACCCCTATTCTAGACCGTACATTTTCTGGCAATCCTACCCGTTATGTTAGACTTACTCATGAGGCAGAAAAGCAGATGGGAAGAGGAAGCAAACACCAGTGGACTCCTTCGTTGCTGATACTTCATTCCTTACCCTCCTGACTTGTACTCAGACCTATGATTTGAAGGGCACAAGTCATTACAGTTTTATCATACATGTAAATTAAAAATCCAACCTATACAATTCTCAGAAAGAGATTACCTTACGGAGTTCTGGCATGTCCCTTCATAAAAGTAATTCCGAGCGTGGATATGGTTGCTAGTGATTCGATTATTTTCATTGCTGCAGTCAAAGATTGACAGCAGGTAAGGAAAATAGGCATGACAAATCCAATAAAGTAAAAGTTTTAGCAGAAAAAACAGAGGTGAGGAAACACAGCAGAGGAACTGGGAGAGAGAAAGGGGGTGAGGAAGGATTTTGGGAGGGAAGGTGGGAAGCAGTATAGGATCCCTCAAGGACAAGCTTATTTCATCCAGGGGGACTGAGTGATCATTCCTGTTAAAGTACCCGTCAGAGTCCCATGCCCCATTTAATACTTTTACCTTTCACCCCGCCCCTATCCCCACACTCCCTGGAATATAAGCTCTCATTTCCCAGGGCCCTCTGAGTGGAGCTCCATGTCCATTGCAACTCCCTAAAGTTGGCTGTGGGGTCATAGGCTGTGGTGCTAGTCCTTCGAGGGCTACTGTTCGTCTTATCTTGGTCACAGCAGCAAGCTTTCAACATTGTCTGCAAATCTGAAAGTGTGGCAGCTAAAATCAGGAGCCTGCAGTCTTGCCCTAGCATACTTCATCAGCTAGTCTTTTCATTTTCATTTGTACAACATAACTTACTTATACATATGGGTCTGAACACACATTCATGCATGCATATATGTGCATGTACATGCATAAGCACACAGGCGCACACACCATCTTTTTTTTTTATTTAAAAGAGAGTGAAACTTTTTAAAAAATATACTTTTATATTTTAAAGAGGAAGGGACAGAGAGAGAGAGAAAGAGAGAGAGAGAGAGAGAGAGAGAGAGAAACATCAATAATAAGAGACAATCATTGATCAGCTGCCTTCTGCATGCCCCTTACTGGAGATCGAGTCTGCAACCTGAGCATGTGCCCTTGACTGGAATGGAACCTGGGACCCTGCAGTCCACAGGCCGATGCTCTATCCACTGAGTCAAACTAGCTAGGGCCACCCCATCTTTTTCTCTTTTCTGTGGAAGCATCTTAGTAGCTAGCCCACATAATAATAGTAATCAACTTTAAATATCTTGGATATAGAGCCCTGCCTTATATTTGATCTCACCTAATTACACGACAATGAGGTAAGACAATGAGGATGGTTATAATTCCCATTGTACAGTCTAGAAAACTAAAGACCAGGGAGGGTGAACAAGCTTCCCAAGGAAATGCCAGAGCCTGGACACCCGCTCAGGCCCCTGACCCAGCCCAGCTTCCTCTCCTCTGCTGCACAGCCCTTCGGAGAATGGGCATCTGAGCAATGCACAAACCCTGCTTCCTGGGCAGACTAGGTGAAGTCCTAAGGATGAATTTTTTGTTGTTAATTTAACTTATTTCTTTCTAATATACTAGAGGCCCGTTGCACAAAATTTGTGCACTGGGAGGAGGGGTGCCTCAGCCCGGCCTGTGCCCTCTTGCAGTCTGGGACCACTCGCTCCCTACCATCCGCCTGCTCACTGCTCCTTACCGCTCGCCTCACTGCTTCTTAGCGCTGCCGCCACTGCCGCTGCTGCTCTCGCCAGCCATGAGCCCGGCTTCTGGCTGAGCAGCCCTTCTGCTGTGGGAGTGCATTGACCACCAGGGGGGAAATCCTGTGTTGAGTGTACCCCCTCATGGTCAGTGCACATCATAGTAACCGGTCGTTCTGGCCGGTCTGCCATAACAGTTGCTTAGGCTTTTATTATATAGATTATGTGAGGCCAAAAACTCAGTTTTCTAGTATTTGTTTTTTCTTCCTCTATACTTTTCAAAGACCATTAAAAAATGGCTGTGGTTGCCCTCACCGGTTTGACTCACTGGATAGAGCGTTGGCCTGGGGACTGAAGAATCCCAGGTTTGATTCCATTCAAGGACATGTACCTTGGTTGCAGGCACATCTCCAGTGGGGGGTTTGCAGGAGGCAGCTGATCGATGCTTCTCTCTCATCGATGTTTCTAATTCTCTATCCCTCTCCCTTCCTCTCTCTAAAAAATCAATAAAATATATATTTTTAAAAATGGCTGTGGTCAGCAGCACATATGTCATGGCCCAGCCTTGTCCATGCAGGGATGCTGTGTCTAATCT